AACAATAACAACTTAAATTTCGAGAAGGAGGTTACTCATCCCCTGTAAGCAATTATTTGTATTGGGGAAACGTAGTACCTCTCAGCCATATCGCGACAGTAAGAAGCAAGGCCATAGCCGAAAAAATATTTAGGGTGGAGGGGGGGTTTAGAGTATAAATATGTTTCATAATATAATAAAATATGAAACTATAAAAATATAATTTAAATTAATCTTTATTTAATAAATAATTAAATCTTATTTCAAAAAAAATTTCAGGGGGGGTTGAACCCTAACCCCTCCTCCCCTGGCTACGGCCTTGGTAAGAAGTAACATTCATATTGTCCAGTGTCCACACGACGACAATATTTTGCAACTGTTGCAACTTACGATAACAATTTATTCGGATTTATCACTAATCGCGTGACCGCCTCTTTACAGTTTATATAATAGTAACATTTTTTCCTTCACTTTTTCTCTATTTAATTTTTTGTAAACTCTAAAAAATCATTTTTGTTTTTTTCATATTTTTATGAGAAATATTACTTCATATTGTAGTTCTTAGTTAGTATGTCTTGTATTTATTTTAAAAGTGGTTAATAATGTTTAAATGTTAAATGGCTTACAATTGAATATGTGTTTCATATTGACTTAAATGATTACTACTTAAGTGATATTTTATTAATTGTTTACGGAATAGTGAATAATTAAATGTTTGGTTAACCATTTAAGATATTTATTAATTATTTGATATAAATTTAGTTTGTTTATTAAATTAGTTTTTTAGTCTTGAGCTAAAGAAATAAACATTGAAATTGAATTAAAAATATATAATTTCTGTTAACTTTAGATTGGTTACATTATACACTTTTATATTCATTTATTCTAATGTAATTCATTATTTTTTTAGGAAGCATCATTAAGAGCACTTAAAGTATCTGGAGGACGGTGTGAAGGTGCTCTAGATTTTTTAGCTAAGCAACAGCAATGTGATCTGTCTAACGGATGCAGCAAATCTTCATCTGGTAATAATATTGTTATTTTTTTATTATCATAATAAACAGTATTATAATTTATAGTATTCAATCTCTAATAATATTTATACTATTATTTTACAGGATTATGTAATAATAATAAATTGATCAGAAAATCAAGTTTAGAAAGAAGTGGAGTTGGACCAAGGAGTAGTCCTGGCCAAGACAGTGGTGCAGGAAGCTCAAGGTCAGATAGTCCAAGACAACCTGATCTAGTCATTCACTCTCATCCACCCTTATCTCGTCAATATTCTCCTTCGGCATATTCAGAAACTCCTCCACCACCCCCACCTAGAAACAATAGCACACCACCACCTCCTCATGTACCGACACACATGCAACAGTTGCTTAAGCGCATGTCACCAGCCCCTGCTGTTCCTTCACGACCACCTGCACCTACACCAGGAACTTCATGTAGTTCCAATCAAAGAGGTACTTCACCAATGGTAGTTCAGAATGGTCCACAAGCACAGCAACAATTATCTCAACAGATGCAAGCCTTAAGTATGACTACTGCTGAACCACCACCACCTTATCCAATAGTTGGAGCTCCACCACCACCACCCTCATACTCTGTATCAATTCAAGAATACCGAAAGTCACCTTCTTCTGGAGTGTTTTCAAATGCAGGGTCATCTAGCCCTGTATCGGGATCAACAAATGGAAGTATGTCATCCTTAACTCGTCCTACACCATTACAAGCCTGGGGAGCTAGACAAACTAAAACTCAGTCACCAATTATAATGCAGTCTGTACGAAGTACATTGGTCCAAAAACCTGTACTTCAAACTGCTGTTGCACCACAAGCTCCAGTACCTACTTCTCCCTCCCCAGTTCCACCACCGTCTTATGCGTCATCTATTCAACAAAAGCAACAAGCTCAAAAAGCAGTCCAACAACCTCAACAAGCGTCATTGTCTTCACCCCCATCAGTTGTACCGACAACTGAACCTCCTAGCTATGCAAGTACTATGCAAGCTCTGGCTGCCCAACGAGTAATTACTAATCCATTGCCACCACCACCATATGCTGAGGACCATCAACATCGGAAGCCTACTCCTCCATTACCACCTATTCCATCATCATCTGTGGCTAAAAACAAAATGATGAACTGTATTAACTATCATCATCCTTTTAGTAATAATAATAATAATAATAATGGCATTACTAATGGACATGATGAAGAAGATGATAATCAGTCAAAAATTGATCACCAGTCCCCTATTCCAGAGCGCAAACATATTAGTAAAGAGAAAGAAGAAGAAAGACGGGAGTGTAAAGTAAAAAATTATTCTCCTCAAGCATTTAAATTCTTCATGGAACAACATGTAGAAAATGTTATCAAGTCACATAAACAAAGAGTGTTTAGACGTGTTCAGCTTGAAACAGAAATGGCTAAAATAGGTTTGAGTGATGAAGCTCAGTGTCAAATGAGAAAAATGTTATCGCAGAAGGAATCAAATTACATACGACTTAAACGAGCAAAAATGGACAAATCAATGTTCACAAAAATCAAACCGATTGGAGTTGGTGCTTTTGGTGAGGTTACATTAGTTAGAAAAATTGATACAAACCATTTATATGCTATGAAAACATTGAAAAAAGCACATGTACTTAAGCGTAATCAAGTTGCCCATGTAAAGGCTGAAAGGGATATACTAGCAGAAGCCGATAATGAATGGGTTGTTAAACTATATTATTCGTTTCAAGATAGAGATAATTTATACTTTGTTATGGATTATATACCCGGTGGAGATTTAATGTCATTGCTAATCAAGTTGGGAATATTTGAAGAACATTTGGCTAGGTGAGTTGCTTTATTTAAACTTAATATGATTTATTGCATACTTATTAACTAAATAATGAAAATGTTTATAGGTTTTACATTGCTGAATTGACTTGTGCTGTAGAGAGTGTGCATAAAATGGGTTTTATCCATCGAGACATCAAGCCAGATAATATATTGATTGATAGAGATGGTCACATTAAACTCACCGACTTTGGATTGTGTACTGGGTTCAGATGGACTCATAATTCTAAATATTACCAAGATGGTAAATATTCAATGATTTTTCATATATTTTAAAAAGTTAAGTCCTAATGAATCATTACTATTTAAGGTGAGCACTGTAGACAAGACTCAATGGGTGGTGGTGAAGAATGGGGTGTAAATGGTGCAGAATGTAGATGTCACCAGTTAAAACCTTTAGAGAGGCGACGTCGGCGAGAACATCAAAGGTGTGAAGCTCATTCATTAGTGGGAACGCCAAACTATATTGCCCCTGAAGTATTGCTTCGAACTGGTTACACACAATTATGTGATTGGTGGAGTGTAGGAGTCATCCTTTATGAGATGTTGGTTGGATCGCCTCCATTTCTTGCTAACACCCCCTCAGAGACTCAATACAAGGTATATAAACCATTGTTTATAAACCACGAAGTGATATTTTGCAATTATTTTAATTAATTTTTTGTAGGTTATACATTGGGAAAATACTTTACAAATACCAGCATCTGCTAACCTATCCCCGGAAGGTGCTGATCTTATACTAAAGTTGTGCACTTGTAAAGAAAACCGCTTGGGTAAGAATGCTGATGAGGTCAAGATTCATCCATTTTTCCAAGATATAGATTTTGAGAGAGGAATGAGACGTCATAATCCTCCACATGTACCACGCATACAATTTTCAACTGACACATCTAATTTTGATCCTATCGATCCAGAACGTCTTCAGAATTCAGATTCTTCTGATCCTGATAATAGGAGTTCTGATTCGGATGGTAACCGTCCGTTCCATGGATTCTTTGAGTTCACCTTCAGGCGTTTTTTTGATGATGGCGGTGGACCATCATTCCATACTAGAATTAGTCTGGATGATAATGATGGGCAAGGCGCTGTATATGTTTGATCCTTGTAAATTCTGTGATGGTTGAACTATTGGTGTATGTGGAGACATTAATGAATGCTCAATTAAAGCCATTTTAATAGTTTGAATAAAGCATTCATAGTGTGTAAGTAAAGAAGTTAAACGCCTATAAAAATGTCATAAGTATAAAATAAAATGTTTTTAATCATGATGAAATCTAGAATAAGGTGATAAATAAAAAAAAATGAAAGAATAAAATAATGTTCATTAAAATAAGATATGCCACATATTGTACTGAGTATAGCTTGTTTTCAGCTTTTCTATTGCAACACAATTATTTGTGGCAAAAAGCTCAGTTTGAGGTTTAATCCTCCCTTAGAACATAAGCTTTATTTAGTTACCAAAATTGTCTTTGTATTTTAATATTTTAGTTTCCTGCTCTTCATAAATGAATAGTACCCTTTCCAAATTCTAACACTCTTTTTTCCTGTTGTATTTATCTTTTTTAAAATTAAACTATTTTTAAGTTAATTTTAGGATTTAATGTGTTTCATCATTCGTCTTATTATTATTATCTTATAAATGTTTTTCTTTTACTTTAGAAAAATGAACCAATTATGGGCTGTGCAAAATGACAGGGATTAACTTACTGAGCTTAAAAACGAATTTAACATATATATATAAAATTATATATACAGACAAAATTATCATCTTTCTATGCAGTTACCAAATTTTATTTAAAAAAAAAAAGAATAATAATAATAACTAATTTTTTTTGTAATTTTAAATAATTTAAGATACCTGCTCTCTTTACTTCTCTCTGATTATTATTAATACTACTACTATTATAATTATTATTATTATTATTAAAATAATTTAAGATACCTGCTCTCTTTACTTCTCTCTGATTATTATTAATACTACTACTATTATAATTATTATTATTATTATTATTATTATTATTATTTTTATTATTTTTGTTTGTTTGTTTTAATGATCTAGTTGAATTTGCTCATTTCAATAATGTTTCGGCGTCATTTTAGTTGACTTGTCTGTGATAAACGATTATTTAGAGAAAATAAAATCTAAAAACAATTCGGCCAAAATGACGCCAGGCTTGTTTATTACAGATCTGCTTAGTGTTTTTTTTTATTATTATTATTTATAAGTAATATTGAATTCATATTGTATTATATTACTCATGTGTATTGTACAAGATGATTTAAAGTCATACTTTTGTCACAGTGTATATTTTTATTATTATTACTATTTTTTTTTTTTTTTTAGGAAAAGTGATATGTAAACATGTAAACATAAATGTAATGTATATTTTTTTATTACAAAAAGTCAATAACATATTTCTATTGCATTTATACCGATCCATTTTTATTCTCATTTCCCTTTTTTGGCACCTTTCTTTTTCTTCTTCTTTTGCGCCTGTGGCCATGGAAAGCCTCGGCACTTCAGCAGATCTTGTACATTGTGACATGTGTGGTAAGCATTGTCCATAGCACATTCATTGAACACATCCACCAAGTTCCTCGACTTTTTACCTTCCTTCCGTGTCTTTATTGTTGTTGGTGTCTGCTTTTTTGTTTTTTTGTCATCTTTAGAATTTATCTCTTTTTTCTTTTCACTTCCTTGTTTACTCATTTTTCCTGAAATTAGCGAAGTTTAACATCTGGACTCTAGACTTAAGAGTATATACATTTAAGTTAAAATATTCGTTTTAGATGAGCTGTTAGTTGGTTGTTATCTTTTGTACAATTATTGATCAAACTTCATATAGCTTCAGTTCCATAGAAACTGTATTGCAGGTGGTTCTTAGGGTACCATGCACAAAGTTGATGAAGAGGTCCTACCTACATAATATGTACTTACCTAATAATATTTTTAATAACCTAAATTTAGTATCAAAATAAAGACATTTTTTGAACTAGGGTTAGATTTATAAGATCACTGCTTGATGAATTTACATCAGGATTCAATAACTTCAAGATATGACACTGTCTATTTCTAAGGACTAAGATTACTATGTATAATATTTACACACTATATATTTTTTTTATTTAGTTCTGTTAGGGCACTACACCTAATAGGTATGCCATGCCGCCATTTTCGACTCATTAATTTTGGGACTTGAGATTTCTGTTCTCAAAACATAAAAATTGTTTATGGGTATGTACTAACTAGGTACCTTACTAATTATTACAAAATGTAATATAAACTCCGTCATTCACCATAGGATGATATGGATCTCGTTTCACCTTTTACGTTTTAACACGTACCTACCTTGTGAAAATGACAATATATCTTCGTCTGTCGGGCATTAAAAAAAAAAAATGATGTATACCTATACAATAGGTACCTATTCAGTATTCTCACCTATAATAGTGTAATACCAAATACTAATTATAGTCTATAAACTATAGTAGGTTATTGCTTTTGACTGAAAATGTGAAAACCCCATTTAACTTTCAACCTTTCTGCATAAGAACATAAACGATTTTTTCTTTTATTTTTAATTTCATTAATGGTCATTTTTATGCCAATTGTATTCAATTCAACACTTTATACAGTGATTAATCACGTATAGACTTAAATTTGTTAGATGGAAGAATAATGACTTTCCACGGAAATTCTTCATCGCGATATAATTTTACAAATTTTAAATTAACATCATCACTCAATTTCAGCATTTTGCAACACGCCAACTCCTAACAATAATAACATCACGTGGCATGAATAAAAACAATGCGTTAACATGTATCCCATTCACACAGAGATAGAACACCTAGCTAGGGTAGAAAATTCAGTGGTGATGGCCCCTACGGATGTTACCATCCGCCTTTGGGCTGGGTACGCACTTACTATTCATGAATAAGTACGGGGAATTTTGGCTCCAGTGACATACCTCGAATTTTTTTTTAATTATCGACGGTAAAAAAAACTTTTCATTCGGTCAAGAACTTGAAGTTTGAATAGAACGTTTCTCATAAGTTAGTTGTTAATGGAAATTATAATAAAAGTTGAGCACCATATATTTATTATTTGTATGACTGTATGCGAGTCTAAACTAAAATTTGAAATTTGACAAAAAAAAATTGTAATTTTGGTAAAAGCACCTTGGGTGCTGTAAAAATATGATAAATCGTTAATATATTATTATAGGTAGCTTAATAATGTTATGTATAAACTAAACACTAATATAAATAAAAACATTTTAATATCTATTATATTATTATAATTTAAAATGTACCTAATATATACCGTGTGCCTCAAAAAGCAGGGGCCACTATACCACTCATAACCATGTAAATATTTTTCAATTCTGTTTGCGGGACATTAAACTAGACTAATGGATCATAAATTTCGATGACTTACAATGTTTTTAACTCATGTATCTTTCGCATGCGCAATAAAACTTATATTTTTTTTAATGGCAACCCGTAATTTAAATATCATATTCGGGTTTATCGATTTATTTCAAACCATTTTGATGCATCAACTTTTGTCCTAAACCCAAAATTGACTAAACTAGAGCTAAGTAGAATTTAAAAAATTTAAAAATGTTCTAACTGTATGTACTTTTTTTTTCTTCTAAACACCACGAAACAAACAATCAAAATTATTATTATTAAACTAATTAACTATTTACGAATTAGGACAAAAGTTGATACATCAAAATGGTTTGAAAAAAATCGATAAACCCGAATATGATATTCAAATTACGGGTTGCCATTTAAAAAAATGTAAGTTTTATTGCGCATGCGAAAGATACGTGAGTTAAAAACATTGTGAGTCATCGAAATTTACGATCCATTAGTCTAGTTTAATGTCCCACAAACAGAATTGAAAAATATTTACATGGTAATAAGTAGTAAAGTGGCCCCTGATTTTTTGGACATACGGTGTATATTAGTAATATTGTAATAGTGTTCGAGGAAATCCAGAAAAAATGTTTGAGTCGGAAATTTGATAGGTCTACACCCCCATCTCAAAGCCATGAATTGTAGTTCGGGACGGCCCTGTGTAAACCTCCTCCATTGAAAATAGCTGTGTAAACCACTGTAACTACTAATTACCCTAAGATCATAAAATAGTAAATAGTAAATACTAAGTAGGTACCTTTATAATACGAACTACTACATGTAGTCGTTCGTGGTGGAAACCGCCGAAATGTTTGACTGGCATTGCCAACAGATCAATTAGAGGACATTGTTTGGTTAGTGGATACGGTTGCACTGGTGTCCCTGGCCTTGTGATAAAAATAATCTGACGAAATCAATTTTCTCTTTTGTTCCCTCTAATAAAAGTTAAAACGTCCCTCTCAAGTCTGTTCGCTGTGCCGTTAAGTTTCGCGTTCGATTAACAAGTTCGTCGCTGAATCTCGATTACAATAATGTGGACGTCATTCAAACCAGAAAGTTTTTTCGATCGGTAGAACACTAAAACTGGTGGAAGGCATCGAATACCTTCACCTCTATACTTGAACGTACACGACATGTCGTCGAACAAAATCCTATGTGATAGTCAATTGTGATAAATACCTAATATCTATAAGTTAGTTTATTTAATTATTCACTATATATTTATTTTGTTAATATATATTATGCATTAGTATATATGATGTATATAAATACATAAACATATTCTGTTAATTAAGTGTTTGAAGAGTTTAATTTAATTTGGTTGATACACAGTATAGTTTATTTTATTTCTTAATTTCTTTATTATACAACTATTACATGCAATTTCTTGAATCGTGAGTGTGTAATAAAAGATTGACCATATAGCGGTGTGACAATGAACGTTCTTGGCCCTAGAACAGCAACATCAGTCAATCGTGTACCTGATATGGGACAACCAACCAAGCCGCTGACGAACAGTCCGCCAGTAACAAAATCTATGTTTCAACATGTAAAAATAGAACATTTGGTGGCTGGATTTTCAGGCGGTGTTGCATCTACACTCATACTTCATCCCCTAGATTTGTTGAAAATTCGATTTGCCGGTGAGTAATTGATGTTATTTTCATCCTCTTTTAATTTCAACTTTAATGTAATATATATTTATGTTTTACAGTTAATGATGGGAGAAATGCAATACCAAGTTATGCCGGACTGGGAAATGCCGTCACTACAATATTTAGACAAGAAGGGATAAAAGGACTTTATAAAGGAGTTACTCCAAATGTTTGGGGATCAGGAAGTGCATGGGGTTTTTATTTCCTATTGTAAGGAAATCTTGTACAACCAAATAAAATAAATATAACTATTAAAGTTTACAATTTGTATTTTTAGTTATAATTCAATAAAAGCTTGGATTCAAGGTGACAACACTAAAAAACCTTTGGGTCCAGCATTACATATGACTGCAGCAGCAGAAGCAGGCATACTCACATTAATGATAACCAATCCAGTATGGGTAGTCAAGACTCGTTTGTGTTTGCAATTTGATAAGCCCAATGATCCGAGCAAGTCGTACAGTGGAATGTGGGATGCATTTCGCAAGATCTATGGTGCTGAGGGTGTACGAGGCCTGTACAAGGTATTCTACAATACCTGACAGTTTGGCGAATGAAATAAAAAATATTCATTGTGTGGGCTAGATTTATATAATTTGTCCTTTGTAGATTTAATTTAAACTAAAGGTAACATTAGATGAATTATATTAAAAGTCTGAAATTAAATTAAAAACCAAATGAAATTATATTTCACAAAATATGAAAACTATGAAAAATTATTAAAGCAGTTATTAAAAAAATTGAAGCTAAATTGTATAGCATATGCTCACTGTTTATTTTAAATTTCTAAATATAAATTTTAATTAAACTGTTAAAGTACATTTTAATTTATAATCTAATTCCACACGCTTTGATTGATGTTGGGTATATTGTTTTTGTTTTGTCTTAAGTAGTAAATAATAGATGGGTATAATAGATACCCTTACCCAAAAAAAAGTAGTTGGTCATATACGTTATTGTAGGGCTTTGTTCCTGGCATGTTTGGCGTATCTCATGGTGCCCTGCAGTTCATGACTTACGAGGAAATGAAGACTTTTTATAATGAATACAGAAGATTACCAATTGATGCTAAACTGGTGAGTTATAAATATAAAGTCATTGATTTAACATAAGACACTTGAATTATAAGCATCTTAGTTAAATCGATCACCCTATCTATTAAAATTGTAAATAATAATTACTAATCATGTTTAATTATCTACTACAGGAAACATCTGAATACATTGTATTTGCAGCGTTTTCAAAATTAATTGCCGCTGGTTTGACATATCCGTATCAAGTAATTCGTGCAAGACTGCAAGATCAACATCGTGAATACCGAGGCACTTGGCATTGTATAACCCAAACATGGAGGTACGAAGGTGCTGGTGGATTCTATAAGGGATTATCGCCATATTTATTACACGTGCTTCCAAATATTTGTCTTGTGTTATTGATATATGAGAAATTTACGAACACTTAATATTCTATTACACCAATATGAGTTTAAACATAACAAAACCTATCAGTCCTGTGTTAGTTTTTTGATTCCAAGTATTTTTAATTTCTTTATATTTAGTATTAATAAAATGTTCTATTCTTTATGTTAAAAATAAAATTATCTGTCCCTTATATTTATATATTGATATGATATCAGATGATATAAATATGTGTATAATATTATACACATCAATTGTGCAATATTCAAAGTTAAAAGTTCCCTTGAATACAAAAGTTAAGAACAAATGAATAAGTTAATAATAAATAAGATTATCAGTCTACATTTATTTGATTTTTTTTCATATAACATGATTATTGCCTTTTGACTAATACTTACCCCTGTCCAAAATAATTTCTCTTGTAGACAGAATTATAATATGACAATACTCCTCTTAGTTGTATGTGTATTTATAGAAATAATGTAATATATGTTATATTTCTTTGTTTTCAATACTTTTATTTCTTAACGGTTAGTCCTAGTTACTCAAATTTATTTTACAACTGGTATTTTGTTTTGTTTTTAATATATATTGTACAATTTCATCAATGTGGTGAAGTAAATTCATTTTAATTATATACCGTAATATGATAAAATAATACTTTCCAAAAGTTAGTTTTTAATATTTGTTCTGTCGTCGCGATACACTGATAATTGCAGTTAAAATAAACTAAGTTAAAATATTTTTATTGTTTCTATTGATTTGGTTTACGTTAAAGAAATATTTTGTATAAATATATTCTTTTATAATATCATGTTCATTGTTACTAAACATGTAAAATATAAATATAGATCACGTGATAAATATATTTGTAGTTCGTTTTAACATGTCATTTAACAGTGTGTTGCGGTGCTGCCAGTAACATAACAAAACAATTGGTAAGATATTTTTAATAATGTATCAAATGTATTGATTTCAATAATTTTATTTTATTTCAGGTATGAAAGGACACGAGGATTTTATAAAGGAATTGGGCCCAATCTATTGAGAGTTATACCAGCAACCATCATTACATTTGTAGTCTATGAAAACTTATCTTCATATTTAATTAAGTTGAATATTATACCTTCATAGTTAAATTTTAAAATGGTCATTAGTTATTTTCATAGATTTTGTGATATTTTTTTATGAACTTTAACGTATACAAGATTAAGAGTTGGTTATTAATAATTATTACTTACTTTAGTACTTAATAATGTTTGTTCCATTTATTTGTTTGAGTAAATGTTGTAGAATTATAATAAATAATAACACATATTTTTTTGTTGCATAAAAATAAGGAACTAACAAAATTAGGTATAGTTACTGTTAAAAAAAAATATTTTATGTGAAACCATATTTACAATACTTTGTAAAGGAAAAAATTTTGGATGATGTCAAAAATAATAGAGGTATGTAAATAGTAAAAGAGGAATGCACCACTTGCAAGCAATGCCTTTGCACGCCTATGTATACAATCAGTGGCGTGCCCAGGAAATTTCAATGGGGGTAATATGTGTTATAAATGTTTTGGCATAAGTACATTTAAATTAATATAAAATAATTAAATAAGTTGAAGTCATCAAAAAAAAGTCAATGGGGGGGGGGGATATAACCCCTAACCTCCCCCCCCCACTTTGAGCACGCTACTGTATACAATATATTATTATGCCATTAGTTTTTGGGATAAAATTAGTTCAACCTATCAGCTACTGCATTATTAATAGGTAACATTCCATTTATAATCTAGTATGTTGTAAAGTCAATACTAAATGCTAAATAGAAGTATAACTACATATAGTATACTAATATAATAATCAAAAATAAATAAAAAAAAAAACAAAAAACACACATTGTAAAATAGTATACCTAGAAACTAGAAATAGAAACTAGGTTTTACCTGATTGGATTGGGTTATCCAAAAATGTCTCATGGTCGATTTACATATCTTGGAAATTAGTTGGAAGTTAACGTACATTATTTAATCAACCTTTCGGGTTTTAATCTTCTATAATCGGAAAAAGTCAACAAACTCAAAATTTGTGCAGAGGTGTATGTACCAAGAGACGGACTAGGGCAAAATATTTGGCTCGGGAAATCTATAATTTGACCGGCCCTTGGCCATTTCGTTATCACAAAATGTAAAAACTTAAATATAACTAGGTATCTATATTCTATAGTAAAAAATCTACTTTTATGAATTAAGAAATAAGAACTTTATAGCATAGCACTGGTCAATCAGACGTTATTTGATATTTTTAAATAAAAACCTTCGACAGTTATTGGCAAGTGTTGTCTTGTATAACTGAGGTCTGAGGTCATAGATCAAGAGCGAACTTAACGCAATGAAAATAGAAATAGTAGTAAAAAATGTATGTTTAATTTTTTTGAAGTTTTTGGAGAATTCTATTGGTTCTTAAAAAATTTACAAAAAACTACGTCAAGCCATATAAATTTCCTAAAAACGACAAAAAAATGTTTTAAAAATCCAAAAAGTTAAAAAAAATGCTAAATAAAAATTTTATTTTTCGTTTTACTAATGGGTGGCTGCTTTCCTCAAAATTGTTCACGCATTATGTACAAATATTATTAAGGATATGATGTATTTTTTTTAATTATCTATATATATAACTAATCTCATTCACATCTACTTATTGTGCCATGTGGTATAGATCATAGATCGCATTTAAAAAAAAAATTTAAAAAAAAAACTTCGTTTTATTGATACATGAAACGAATTTTTTTTTAGGACAGCAATGTTTAAGAAAGTGCAGAAAAAAATAAAATTTGTATTGAAATCCGTACCCTAGTTATTAATAATTCTTTCTGATGATGCATTGAATATTGATACCGAGGGGAGTGGACGATCAGCCGAACCGAAATTTAATATATCTTGAACACCTTTTAGCCCAATTTTTCAATGATATGAAAATACAAAATATTTATAATTTATATGTAGAATTATGTATATTATTTTAAATTTATTATAAGTATAAAATAACAAATTATTTTTGAGCATCTGCAGCGGCCCGTCGGGAAAGTTCCCGGTATCCCTCCGGCCCAGTCCACCCCTGTAAGGTACATATATATTAAAACGAATATCTACACCCTACACGGGTACAAAATAAATGAAAAATATAATTTGGTGGGTACCTAATACCTACATCCTACTATAATGGCAATATTATATTAGGTATTATGTATTAATATATTATTCTAAAACTCGTAACTACAAAACATTTTGTTATTCTAGATTGCGAAAACATGAGCCACAAAATAAGGAATAGAAAATGACTTAGGGTCCATGAGATGTTAAAAATGATTATTTTGTTTCAATTTATTCAAAAAAAATGTTGCCGATATAAAAAAATCAAGGTCAAAAATTCAATGGAATTATAGCCATGATACCTACTTGATAACTGCAATAGACATAGCTATATATATAGTTTCTAGTCTTCTAAAATGACTATTAGGTACGTTTGTACAATTGTATTTTATAATAAATAATAATATATTCTATATTATGAATTACCTATGTAAATTGAACTCAATTCCTAAGAAACTACATTTTAACACTTGTTATACCCACGGACACCCGCATAGAATTAACCCACTAGGTGTAAAATACTTCTGGTGTTAATAATATAGTTGCTATAAGCCTTTTATATCGTTCATTATTTATTATTTTAAGATTTTAAGTCTAACATATTGTCTCTCAGAATGTTACTATCTTTCCCACGACCATGGAAATAAATGAACAAAAAAGGAATTTTTATATTTTATTATTTATTTGAAAAGTCTAAATTATTAAAAAATATTTCCTCAGTTGGTGTATTTGTACCACCTGTCCACTCACCGTGCGTTACTACATATACCTATAAGTAAAATAAATTATAAATTAGATAATCGCATTCCCATAAACATTTTTATTTTATAGATAAGATTTAAAAAAAAAGTTTATATAGGAATATGAATGTAGTTTATTTACATTTTACGTGCAAGACAGTCAACGGCTATTGATATTTTGGTCCAAGGTTATATTTACATTAGGTTATTAATTATTATAGACATTAAAATTACGTATGTATACGTACCTACCTACTATTACATTCCCATTTCTCTAGCCAAACTGCACAGTGGCGCCGAAGTGGCTTAAAAATACTAGGGTAAACCATGTAAAAATATAAGGCATCGTGTATGGTATACATTGTATACCTCTATAAAATCTCAAGCAGACAGGGGCTTTGCCTCTCATTCCCCTTTGAATCTAAATTTCTATGAAATATATACATTTTTCGTACAAAATAATTTTCAAGTTTTCTTGATTTTGATGATTTTAAACATTTAAATTCCAAATGGTTATAAAAAAAGTCATTGTTATCTATTCTATCTCCTTTATTTTTAAACTGTTATCATAAATACTTATGAGGAACCTATTGTATTAAATTTTCAAGCTTTTTGAATTAGGAAACATTTTTTGATCGATGTTTTTAAGAAAAATATAAATAAGAAAATCTATTATAATATATTTTTTCTATTTGGTGAACATTTTGAATATCTATGGTTGAGCGTTTTCAGTAATATGTTGAATTATTAAAATAAGAAATCCGTTTCATGTGAAAATGTTAATTTAATATGAATAGTTACTGCCGGTACTGGTGCATAATGTTGAAAAAACAATATTGAAAAAAACTTCAAACGCTCATGAAAAATTAATTTGTCTTTCCGTCAAATGTTTGTTTGTTTGTTATAGGTAGAAAAACTTTTAATTTTAATAAAAAAAGAACGATTTTCATGAATTTTCTAACTTATAATAAGACTATTGTGAATTAACGCTTACTTTGTTTTTGAATTACACTAGTAGCATCTTCTTAGTCTCTATATTACGAGGAGCCTTATCATTAAATGTCCAGGTTTTTAATGGAGCGGAAAAAAGCGACAAGAATTTGAAAAAACCATACAATTTTTATTGTTATACTTTATTGAGTTACGCCAAAAAAACAAAATCTATTTTTCAAAAACTGGTTGGCTTAAATTTATTGATTTTACTTTGGCGTATTTTTGTTTGTGTATATTCCTATATACAGTATTTATTTATATTTATATTTATTTATTAACGGGCAGAGCCCTATACAACAGTTTCACATAATGAATTTACAGTTTAAATACAATTAATAACTCACACATATGGATTTCACCAGATAATAGTAACAATAATTATATATGTATAATGGTAAGTATTTAGAATAAGAAAGTAGTAATACCTAATTTTACCAGTCATGTCTGCCAGATAGGATTTGAAACACGACAGAAGTGGTTCACCAAACCTAGATTTGTATAGGGTCTCAATAAGGCAGAAATGGTCAACTCTATCAAAGGCCTTAGACCCTTAGCAAAATCTGTATAAATAACATCAACTTGGATGTGCTTTTCAACAGCCTCCAAAACAGAATTGTTAAAAGCCATCAAATTCATAGTGGCTGAGCGACTAGGTCTGAACCCATATTGCTCATCGATTAGAATTGAGTTAACAGGCGATTGAATACTTCTCAATACTAATTGTTCGAAGAGTTTAGATATGTGGCTCAAAATCGACAAAGGTTTATAATTTTTGACATTGGCCTTATAACCCGATTTAAATATAGGATTGACAGAACTAATCTTGAGAATGGATGGGAAGACTTTGCTATCGAGAGAACGCCTGAAAAGTAGCCACAACGGAAAACATAAGGAAGACTTTATAGTTTATACTGTATAAGAAGATACCAGACAGGCCATCAGGGCTTATGGACTTAACACTTTTTTGAGCATCTAAACCAGTGTCAACATCATCGGTATCGAATGAGCAAGTACTAAGCAGGTCATGGATCAAAAAAAGAGAAGAATGATCAATAGACAAAGGTGGAACATGAACATACACTGTATTAAAATAAAGAAAAAATAAATTACAAACTGACTCAGTGACCGAACTTTGTAAGTTCTCAAAACGTACAGATTGAGGAATCTCATTGTTGAACTTGTGAGCTCGAACAAAATCCCAAAACGACCTAGGATTATATTTAATTTTTTTTAATTATTGTCAATAAAATTTTTTTCTCTCTGTTAAAATACTAGAAAAATAAATATATA